CGGCAGTGGGGACCCCCAGGGATGTCTCCCAGGGCTTGCACGCCACCATGGGAGACCTCCCTGGGGGTCCTCGCCGCCGCGCTCGGTGACTTCAGAGGTTTCAAAGGGCTTTCCCCGACATCGGAGGAAGCCCTTTGAAAGCTCCAAAGGCAGCGGAACGCCGGGCGGATAGAGCAGGCTGCTCGCCCCCGGCCGCGTGGAACCAGCGGACGCCGGGAGGCTTCAGACTGGTAAGTCCTTTTTAAAAAACTTTTCTGTGTGGGTTCTGGAGGGTGGGTTTGGACTGGGGGGGGTTATGTTTCTGTGGTTTGTGTGTGTGCGCGTTGTTTTTTGCAGTCCCAACGTGGGACTTGCTCTTTTTATTTTTATTTTTGTATTATCATTATTTTTTTTAAATGCTGGAACGGATTACTTCCGTTCCCATGCATTTCAATCGGAAATGGTAGGTTGACTTACGAACTTTCCGAACTACAAACGTCCTCCCAGAACAGATTAAGTTCGTAAATCGAGGGCCCACTGTATATTCAAAGACTCTTCTTTACATTAGAAAGATTAAATAAGAACCAGCAATTCTTAGCACACTATATACACAAATAAATCAACATTCTTGTTTCATGTGAAGGATAGACCTATAAGCAGAAAGTTCTTTTGTCTGGCACAATTCTAACCTCAGCACACTTCCTGAAAAACAACTGATTACTGGTAAAAAGATGTCTGTGTAATCAGCACTATGGCTGATTGCTACTGCTGTTAACAATGCTATTGTGATTTTGGAACCCATTATCAATGTAATTGTCATCCCCTTTGTCACATCCCTCTTGGTTCCTATACGTCTACCAACTGCATATGAACTTAAGACCTGTTACATTTCCATGTCAAAGAAAGTGGATTATAATCCAGAAAATCTCAAATAGAAATACATCTGTTTCTTTTTAATGTGCTGCAACTTTTGGGGGCCCCTTTTTGAAAGTCTTCATTAAAAGTTACGGAAGGAGGAAAAGGCAATTCTTAAACTCTTTTTAAAGAGAATATTTGATCCATCTGTACAACCAAGGGGCACTTACTTATGCTGTACAATGGCAACATCTAGGAACCATATGAAGTAGACCAGATAACAGTATTTTTGAGACTTTTAATACTTACCATTGAAGGCATCTTCTAAATTAAAGCCATCTGAACAAGAAAAACATCAAGCCATTATTTAATAGGAAAACAGAATTTGCAATTCTTACACCCCAGATTCAAAATGAAACATTTCTATAGAATGGATAGGCACGATTTTCAAAATGAAAAATATTAGTATCCTATATACAAAAGTAAAGTTGCAGATAAATTACAGAAACTGAAGGGACAAAAGAACAATGTCTTCACATAGTAGTAAGCAGTTTTAAAAAGTAGAGAAATGGAGCCAATTACTCAGAGGATGGTAAACCCTCCAAAATTAGAGGCATTCAAGAGAAAATTACACAACTGTTTGTCAGTTCTGCTTTGATTTGGATTCCTGCATTGAACAGGGAGTTCCACTCAAGGGCCTTTATAGTCCCCTTCCAACTCAATTATTCCACTCAATGGCCTTTATAGTCCCCTTCCAATTCAATTATTCTATGATTCTGTGAAACATGCAACTTTATTTGAATTTTGATCTCGTTCCATACGTGGCCTTAAGTGGTTTGCAATGCTGAAGAAATTCCCCTCCATAAATTACAGCAATTAAAGAGAAAATATGGAGGTATACATACATTCATTAGTAAACTAACTAAACAAATGTACAGTGGAAAATTTTGGCATCTAGTAATCATCAAAATGTTGGAACTACACAAAAGTACATTTATTCCCCACATATATACTGTTCAAAGTTTTGTTGCTCAGTACAGTCACTTGCATTAGAGAAGGCCCCTTGAACCAACCGAAATTTAATGAGTCAACTCCTTCATAAACTTCATTGATCCAAATGGGCCTACTCTAACTACAATTTATTATACTCAAACAAATCACAGTTAAAATAAGCTTATTTGAATCAACAGAGATCATGGAAGAGTTGACTCACAAAATCTCAACTGACTCAATGGGCCTAAAGGTAAAGGTTCCCCTTGACAATCTGTCCAGTCGTGTCTGACTCTAGGGGGCGGTGTTCATCCCCATTTCCAAGTTATAGAGCCAGCGTGTCTCTGTAGACAGTTTCCGTGGTCATGTGGACAGCGCGACTAGACATGGAACGCTATTAATGGGCCTACTCTAGTTCAATATATAATGTTAAACAACTGAAAAGTAGTGGTACATAAATATGAGATCCATGATCTGAGTCCTATAAAAAGAATACTTGTACTTACCATCTGCTGGATTCCTGGCAGGGGGGGCAGGCTGTTTTTTGTCAGGTGTAGTAGGCTTTGTTGTTGGAGATGCTGTATAAACATACATAGTACTTAACACACAGTACTCAGCTGTACTAAAGAGTGTTTTGGGTATTTGCAAAATTTCTCATTCTTGGTTATTTTATGAGTTCCACCATGCCAGGTCTCACCGTCAAGACAACACCCCAGCAGCAAGATTTCCTGACTTCCTGCAAAAATGTGACCCTGAATTTCAGCTGGTTGTTCTGCAGAGGAAGTTGACCAATTCTGGACAGCTTAATGGCCTCTCTAGTCATTCCTGCACAGGGAATATGTCATTTTGTACAGAAATTATAATAATCCAGCTCCTTTCTCATTTCTTCCAGAAAAAAAATGACTATGAAACAGCTAAATGTTTTCTGTGAAATTCCCTTTGTTTCCTGGGGAAATAATATACTATGGAGAAATATTGCTCCATGAAGGAAAAAAAAAAAGGAGTCATTATTTCAATTCAGTTTACTTTAATTTTTGGTGTAGTATCTCTCCAACAGTAAGAGCCTATATCATTCTCATCTCTAATCAGTTACTGTAAGTGAATATCAGTTCAGGCTGATTTGAGGTACAAACAGTTGTACACAGCTGAAGTTCTTTTTGCTAATTAAAACAAACTAAAAAAGTCAACTGTCATATAAGATACAATGCTTGCAGCTTATCTCCATGATGGATAACATAAATAGAAGCAAGCTATGCAAGACTTTAGGTTTCAAGCAACAATACCTGTGAAATATAAATTTAAAACTATACTAACGTACAAGCAAGCAAGCCGTGCCAAAATAGGATTACAGTACTACTCCAAATTGATTTACAGATAAACACATTTCATTCTCAGGTAACAATGCACAGAATTACAGCAAACGTTGTCTAGATTTGCAGCAGAGCTTCTCTGTTCCAAGTCTGATGTCCTGGCAACAAGCTAAACAAGCTTGCAAATGGGAGGGGGGGAGAGGAAGAGCTTTCACATAGCCCTAAAAACAAACCAGTTTCAAGTAGCTTGTTGCTTTTGCTACCAGCAAGCATTTCAGAACACAGGATTTGTGACTGAGATTCGAGGACCCAACAAAAACCAGTTTTGCCAAAGCTGCAAAAGCTTAGTTCCTGGTCAGTGCCTGAACAAAGATTGACCATGTAAGACATTCCATGTTTACTAAAGAAACAGTGGGAAACACACACTGGATGCAAAATATTAAGGAATGCAAACACTGGGAAGGGCATCAGTAAGTGGTAGAAGACGTTTTGTATACAGGAAGTGGCAAACTCAAAACTCAGCCGCTCCAGGTAGTACAAGGAAAGGATACTGCCTGAAATCCTTGAGATCTGCTGCCGTAAATGCAGGCAGTATTGAGTGAGACGAAGACATAAAGCCTGACTCCGATCTCTCTAGGTTTCCTTCCCTCCCTTAATGAGAGTTAGTACTGGAAGTGTGCAGTTGGGAGAAAGCCTTTTCAGGAAGGATGGTGAGATGAAAGCCACGAGCAGGGCATTTAGCACACTCTTGTCACCAGTATCTCTTCCAAGCTTCAGAAATATAGCACCCCTCAACCTTTTCATGTAATATACCTAGTTTGGCTACAGACAGCTTCTCTGGATCTTTCAGAAGATGGCATGCATACACCAAGAGTGTTAAACCAAAATTGTTACTTTGTTCTTGACATCTAATAGCAAACAGCTTTTGAATCTCCCACCATTCCCAAGAACAACTGACTAAGAGACCCCAAGGGGCTGCTGACTTCTCAAACTGTTACTTTGTTCTTGACATCTCAATAGCAAACAGCTTTTGCATCTCCCACCATTCCCAAGAACAAATGACTAGGAGACCCCAAGGGGCTGCTGACTTCTCAAATATGTCAAAAGCCTCTTTCCTCAGCACACACAACTAATTTCACAGTCCTCTGGATATTGGCCATGTATCACAGTAAGCTGATACAGCCTTCCAGTCATACTCCATATATTTATTTCCTACAATAGTATTTTTTTTTTCAATTAAGGATTTCAACACTTCTTACTCCTCCCCCCATTCATGTTAAGTTATCATGAATGTTATCCATTCCCTATTGAGATATTTTATCCTATTATTCTGATAGGGCCTCAATCGTCCCCACTAACATTGGGAGATCCAGAGTGGAGAAGGCAGGACTGAAGCACATGTTGCTGCATCACTTTCTATGATTATAAGCTGTAAAAGCTGAACAGGACTCATCTTGTACTAACTACCTGTGATTCAGGAAATGAGTAAAAAGGTTCATAAGCAAGATCTTTCATCTGGATTGATCACGCTAAAATAATACAGTACCATACTAGTGGTACTCCACTCTGGGAGGCAGTGGAAGGCAGGAGGGCCTGGCATGCTCTGGTCCATGGGGTCACGAAGAGTCGGACACGACTTAACGACCAAACAACAACATACTAGTGAAGCAGAGGCAATGTGAAGGTGTGATATAAATTTAAAATATATGTAATATATATGTAATGCTGCAACATTCCCATTACTACAAAACCTATAGTAAGAGTGTTAGGTTTGTTACTTACCAGGATCTAGTGCCTCACTCAAGTCGAAGTCTTGCCCTATTAAAAAAATTAAAAAGTCAATTAAGAATGTTTTTATACCAGTTGCACAAAAATGTTGCCACAAAAACAAGGCAAAGTCCCATTTAAAGCACACTAGAGAAATGGCTGAGCACCACAGAAAAGAGGTTGGCAGCTTTTCATCTACACTAGACTACGATGTGAGAGTCAGAACTCAAGATCTTGGCATCATCCATTAATTCCATCTGTAGCTACTGAACACTTCATTCACATCTTTTTGATTTTTTTTTGTTCCAATTCCCATCTTGGAAAATGTAAGGAATATTGCAGAATTGTGAAAAGCTAATACTGTAGGATCCCCGTATCTGTGGGATTGGTATCCGCAGGGGCAAGACTTTTAACCTTTGTCCCTCCCCCTTGTGTGCTATATATAGCATTTGCCACTACAATAGGACCTGTGGGATCAATATCCCAGATTTCACTTACTGACGGACTGAAAAAAATGAAAAAAAACCCAGAAAATACTATTTTCACATGTATCATCAGAACCAGCCACTAGAGGGAGGCAGAGATGATGCTATGAATACTTGTTAGTGAAGAATAGCATGATCTCTAGTGCCCTCTAGTGACAACAGATCACATGCTCCTGCACAGTGACAAGTAGTATAGAAAAGGAGAGAAAACATGTCACACAGAATCAAGTGATCTAAGTAAGTTCAATATTTCCAATTAATGATAATAAAACAGCTAAATGAGTACAGTGCCCCCCCAATATTATTTGGCTCTATTTTAACCCTTCATGGTGATGATAGGGCTTCATGGGGACACTCTGAGCAACAAAGATTGGGGGATTTAGGCATCTATGGATACGTGTAGCTCACCCCTGCTTTAAATCTCAGGGTTATCTGAAATGTATATCTCTTGACAAGGTGGCTGAAATGTATGCTGAGACAATAGCTGTCATCTGAAGAAAGGGTGAAGAAATTCAGAGCACTAGCGATTTTGACCATTTCAGGGCACAGAATTTAGTTCAAAAGTTCCAGTACCTAGCGCCAGCTAAATTAAAGCTTGGAAAAGTTACTTTGTCAAACAACAAATCCCAGAATCCCGAAGTCAGCATGACTAGTGACCACCCGTGTTCAATACAGAGTGCCATTCACTAGCATTTCAGAACAAGCATGTTCAGTTTGCCCTGAAGCCACCAAGTTCCAGGAACTTTTAGGTTGCTGGGGACTGCTCTAACATGTGCAGTCATTTGATTCTGGGTAAGGAAGTTATCTGGCATTCCTTCATCTCAAAGTAATCCATGGATTAAGTGCACAAACAGTTTGCTGGACCAGCTGGAGGTACCCCACCCAACAACCACTACTTCCAGTGTTTCACTCCCTCAGAGACTGGGAAAGGAAGAGAGGGGGAGAATAAAAGCTGTGAGGAATGTGTTGTAAGCAGCAGCAACAACAAGAAGTGATACATCAACAGGTGTAATAAGTGATATATAAACTGGAGCACAGATATGCCTTTAAAAAAACAATTAAAACTGAAATATGCCTACATCAGGAGGAAAAAAAGAACAGTATCACCAAGGCTCCTAACATATCTCTTTAGGAATGAAAAGCACTTCCATTCATAGGAGGCTAGCGCCACAAATAACACCAATGGTTTATACTTCCTATTTCCATGGGAATCAGCAAAAGCCAAAAATGCTGATTTTAAAAGACTTCTTAATTGTATTTCCTGCATTTGGAAAAAAAAAAAGAGGTAGCCACCTCCCTCTGAAATTAATGTGCTATTTTTTTGCAATCTATTCATCCACAGAGATTCAGTTTGGCCCGCTGGCCTCTAACATTTGAAGAACATTACTTTTTGATAGTGTAGTCTGGGAGGGGCGGGGTGTTCTAGAAAGTACAGTCCAAAAACAGTTAACTTTTCCAAAGTCTCATCTTTAATGCACTGCTTTGCCACCTGACACTTGAAACATCTCAGTAAAAATGTTGAAAGTTTTTAACTGGAATACATATTTATTTATTTATTTATTTATTTATTTATTTATTTATTTATTTATTTAACTTGTATGCCGCCCACACTACCCAAAGGTCTCTGGGCAGCTTACACCAATTAAAATACAGTATGACTCATATGACTCACAGGGGAAGAACAGACAGCTTTCAACAGCATTAGTCATCTCGTGCTATTCAGAAATTTGTGGGCACCCTTCTTCCCGAGGAAGCAAGAACTCTGACAGGATGTTTACCCATGCTGCCAAGCAGCCCTTTATAATTAGCTCTGCAACAACATGCCATGAAGTTAGAAGATTTAAATGCTGCACTGCAGTTTAAAGGATGAATGCACAAAACAGACTGCCTCAGCCAGCATCCTGTTTAGGTTAGAGATCAGTATATGTACAGTACAGATTTAATTCTGTATCACCTGAGGGTGGGTGAGTGCTTCCCCCTCCAAACTAATTTCTAAAATGAATGGCACTAAAAAAATAAAATAAAATTCAAAGCCTTAAAACAATGGCCAAGATTCCTAAATTCAAAAGATGAAATGGCTTCACTCTGCCTGGTATTACAACTCCTTGACATTCCTAAATCTTCCTACAAAACTCAACAACACACAAGCCTCTGCTAATCCACGTTTCTCCCCCCTAATAATCTGGCAAAGTTGGAAAGTTAGTTTTTGGACCAAAAGCCTCAGAACTGGAGTCCAAAAACTAACGTCTACAAGCTCTGTTAGGTGTATCACGCTGCCAGCTCCTCTACAGTCTCTGATAAATCTAATTGCATCTCTATCACTTCCTCCTACTTTTGTTTTAACAATACTTCAGTCATAAGGAGAAGGAAAACTCCGATTTCAAACCTCCACTGCCTTGTGGCTATATCCATTCATGGAAAAGGCTTCAGAAGTTAACCTAGAGGCAAAATCCGGAGCTGGAGTCCCGAAGGCAGTTTGTGTCGTTCTGCCAACTCCTGCGACATTGCTGGAACCAGTTGTATTGGCTCTTGCCTTTCCATTGGACCATTTCAGCAACGTGGAGAGGGGGGATCTGCTGCTTGGGTAACAGCCTATCCTCCATATTACCTTACCCAGGCTTCATGCTCTGGAGAGGACACTCCTCGATTCAGAGCATGTTACCATTGTCTCTCGAGACTGAAGGATGCCTATGCTACTGTACTTCAGTCATAGCATTTGCTGCTGCTGCTGTTGTTGTTTTGTGCCACCACATTGGAACCAACTTACACTGACCCTAACAGGGCTTTCTAAGTGAGATATTTAAGGAATGGTTTTACGAGTTCCACTCCCCCAGTGAATTTCCATGACTGAGTGGGGATTAGAACCCTGATCTCCAGAGTTCTAGTCTGTCACTCTATCCTCTACACACCATACTTGGAATCCATAGCCTCACAACAACATCCCCTTTTTTTAAAAGCGCAAAGAAGGGGGGATTACAGTCATAGCATTTGCTGTTGTTGTTGTTGTTGTTTTGTGCCACCACATTGGAGCCAACTTACACTGACAGGGCTTTCTAAGTGAGATATTTAAGGAATAGTTTTACCAGTTCCACTCCCCCAGTGAATTTCCATGACTGAGTGGGGATTAGAACCCTGATCTCCAGAGTTCTAGTCTGTCACTCTATCCTCTACACACCATACTTGGAATCCATAGCCTCACAACAACACCCCCCCTTTTTTAAAGCGCAAAGAAGAAGGGGGGATTAAATATTGGCTGTTCAACTTTTTTTTCACAAAGAGCAGAGACTCCACTCCAGATTAAGACAACAGCACAAAGGGAGTGAATCCTTCCTAGGAGAAATTCCTCACCATTCACTCTCTGAAACAGCATCACCATGATAAATAACAACTGGGTGTGGAGCAAGAAAATGGTTTCGACCCTCCATGCAGTTGTATTTTGTAAAACTATAAAAATAGGAAGCACAAAGCAGGATTTTTAAAGCCTTTCTATTTCTGCTTCTCTACTTTTGTTTTATATTCTACAATTTTACCATACTTCTGCTGTTTTAAATTTTAAGTAGCTTTGAAGGGCCACAAATTCACATTTTCCAACCTAACAAATAATGTTAGGTTGACAGTCTAGCCAAGGAATAAGTGCCCTCTTTCCTTAACTGACTTGCTCAAGATCACTTTCTCAAGTTTGTAAACCACTTCTGAATCTTCCTAGTGTAGTAGTGGTAGCAGCAGCAGTACATCTGGGACTTTGGCTTCTCACATAATGAAATTACTGGCATTTTTTTTACATTTTAAAGAAACCAGAACAGACCCACAACAACTAGCCTACTTAAAAAAAGAGGGGGGGGGAATCCTCATGAGATCCCCAAATCATAGGACTTGGAGCTCTGCTGCTTACGCAAAAAACATCCAAGAACCATACCACGTAAGCCTGTCTTTAGAAAACTGCATCTCCTCTCTGCCACGCTCTGAAACAGTTTTGATGATTCCCCCCAACTGTTAGCCAAAGAATATCAATGTGAAATTACAGCATTATCCTTCCCGTTCCGTTCAGCCTGTGTGCGTGTGGGGGGCATGTGGGCGGTTGTGCACATCCGTCTGTGCATGTGGGGGATGTACAGGGTGCGCATGCATGTGAGTGGGCGTGTGTGCAGGTGAGGAGACATTCAGATCTGTGTGTGCATGCATCTGTGCGTCTGTGCAGGGGGCAGGGTATGCGTGCATGCGGGCCAGTGTCTGTGTGTGTGTGCATGAGGTGGGTGGGGATCTTCGGTCGGGCAACCATGCATACACACGTGCATACACATTCCTGTTCCTTCAGCCCTCAAAAACTTTTAAAATACAGTGGTGCCTCAAATTATGAACTTAATTGGTTCAGGAAGATGGTCGTAACTCAAAATGGTCGTAAGTCAAAGCACCATTTCCCATAGGAATGTATTGAAATGCAATTAATCCGTTCTGGCCAAAGAAAAAAATCACACACAAAAAACACCACTGTAAGACCGGTCGGAAATGCGATTAATCCCTTCCAGCTGAAGGGGATGGGCAAGAAAAGCAATCAATCATGCAAGA